CGGTAACCGAGCCATCACAAGTTCTTCGCGTGATATCGCAACTAAACGGTCCGCCGTTTCCACGAAATATTGCGAATGTTGGTCCAGAAGGTAACATATCGCCTTTGAAAATAATCAATACCAGATTCATAATCAATCATCAGAGAATTTGACTCTATGTAAACGCGTTACATTTAAATGTGCCCTCAAATCTCCCAGCTTATCGTTAAGAAAACCCCCCTAAAACCCTTAGATAAATAGGGCCACTTAACGTCAAAGTTACGAAATCAGAAGATACAAAAAATCTAAATATGGAGCAAGTATTGCTCCATAATACTAGAATAAAGTAAGAAAAACTAAGTTTGGTTTGAAATGCAAAAAGATAACGACAAGTGAAAGTTGTTAAACTAACAGCGCAAGATTCGAACTTCTTCGACGACTTAACCCACTTTACGACGGCCAATAGTTTCACGAACAACATTCGCGTCGAATGCGCAAACTGTACCAAGCTAATCTTCCTGTCACCATCGAGCTTCTTTGGTAACCTATAACGCAGCTGCTATCAATTATGAAGCAAACTACAGATCTAAGAATATTGAGTGATACGCAAAAAATCGACCTCGTACGGGAGTTGAACCCGCGCCTCACCCTTGCCGGAGGCAAGCAAGTACCATGCTAGAAAAAAGTAAAAGTAATGGATTCATATAGATTATACTAGGCTGGGAACTGAGTTTTGTCGTATTTTTTCGTTATTATTATTCACCCACAATGAATCTATTTCTTGGTCTTTTTTATCGTGTTTTATGTCATTCGAAAGCCTGTGATTTCAAAAATATAAATATGCGAACCATTTAATCTTTTGTAATTGCGTGGAATTTCACTGAATTCGTGAACGTCTCTTGAGCGTTCCATTTGGGTCATTCTGCCACCGAAGCGACACAAAATTAGTAGAGCACTGAACTACAAGGCGCTTAATCTACAAACTACACAGAGATGTCTAACGATGTATTTTGAGCCTTTCATGAGGTTTATAATGGGCACTTATACAGTGTGCAAGACACAGTTTGCTAACCATACCCCATGCAATCGACAATTAATCACACTTAATCTCTGGAAGGACGTCACGGTGATTGTTTCACCGTATATTGTGTTTAAAAAGTTTGTCATTGGTTCCTCTATGTGAGGGGTAGTTCTCCAAGGAACTGACTGAACGAAAAAGCACTGTGCAAGTGACAAGGCTGCAAGGCCGAAATACCTGCCTACACTGTATAAATGCTCATAACAGGCTTTACGAGAGGCTCAAAATACATTGCCAGATTATGTTGTTCTTGAGCGAAGCCTCAGAAAAGCCGATTGCAATTATCGCTACACGCATACGAAGATGGTTCAGTTTCGTGAAATTTCGTGAAGACGATATCAACACATCAACAGCTGCGGCAGCTTTATCGAAGCGGCGTCAAGACAACGCACGTCCACATATTGCGCGATTGACATTGCAAAAGACTAAAGAATTAAGACGGAACGTTTAAATTATCCATCGTATAGCTTAAATGCTGCTCCAAGTAATTACCATCCCTTCGAGTCTCTGCAATATTCCTTGTCAGGAAAACACTTTGCCAAAGCCGATAATGTAATAAAGCATCTGTCTGAGTATTTTGCTTCAAAAACGCCAGGACGTTTATCGTCAAAGCATCGAACTATCAAAAATTCGGCAAAACACTATTCATTCTTAGGTGCATACTATGACGAAACCCACTACAGTAGCTATTTAGATTCATCGTAACCGCTCAAGGAAAAGATTGGTAATACCTCAAAAACTGTGACATCTTACTTTATTGACCCGTCTTCACTGTGTTTTTTCATTTTCTTTTCACTGTACGGATCCCAATGCTTCTAGCATTCAATTCTTTTTTCACCTTCTTTATGAACGGCGTAGAATACTGGTTGAGCGAATCTCCTTACAATGGCGAGGATAGCCTAGCTGTGGCGTTCCATAGGGCGTTGCTGCTGACTGATTGAGGGCTGATAGGTGGAGCTCGGCTCCAGGTGCGCCGCAACGAACATCACAACCACACGGCGCCCCATGTCACAAACTTGTGCAATAAAACATAGTAATGACCTCATGCTGAAAAATGAGCGAAACTCAAAACGAAACGATCGCGAGTTTTGCTTGTATCTCAGCCATTCTGTGATTGTACTTGCATCGCACCTTGTCATTAAAAAGGAATAGGCAGTAAACAAGAAGCCAAAAAAGAGTGGTAGCAAAACAGAAGCGCCGATAACGCAGTGGACAGCACACGTCCCAGAAAAGGTAGGCGACGGGTTCAACTCTCGCCCGAATTCCTAAGTCTGCATATCATTGAACACTAATGAATATAGAAACGAAGATATTATCATAGCAATAGCCTTTCTAATCAATAGCTGAGTATTAGTGCAAAAACAAGATTAATTTAGTATAGAACTGCAGTAACGAACCTTCAACTATGTCAACTCCAGCTCCATATTCGTAATAAACGCATTTAAGTAACTGATTTGAGTTCCTGTTATATCAACTATGCACTTACTCAAAACAAAGTCGAGTTGTGTAGAATAGTGGCTGCTTTTATCATTATTTTTTTACAATTATTACATCATTAACGAGCGCATGTGGCGTAGTGGTTAGAGGTGCTCTGCGTCGCACACGAGGTCAATGATTCAATCTCGCGCTCATGGCTCACCAAGCCATCCATCCCTCCGGGGTCGGTAAGTTGGTACGAAAGTGGTCTCAGACTTGTCTGGGAGGATTAGCAGCACTGACTCGGTTCAGCGGGAGGCCTCAACGAGTCATTGTATAGGCCAGATATGCATTCAATCACCTCAAACGAAGTTTAAAAATTGAAGTCGAATGCATGGCGCATACCTCAGGGATTGATCAACGCCGAGAGCTTTATCCCTTTTTTATCATTTGTATCATTAACAACCAGAATAGATTCAAATAAGCATCAAAGGAAAAAAAGATGGCTTACACGGAAGAATACAGAAAAAAAACAACTTACAGTTCGGAGAGCACCGTGATTTCATGGTAAATTTGCTGGATAGCAAAGTCGAGCAAGTAATTCAGGCTGATGGTGGGTGGTCCGCATTTCTCTGGTACAATTGGAAGTACCGGCTTGTTGTGACCCTCATCGTCCATCGGGACAATAAAGGAAAAACTATTCTCTGAATAAGGTATTAACTCAAAGCTAAAAAAGGAATTCAACGCTATCCACGAACCGTTCAAGAACTTAATGAGGCGATAAACTGCAAAATTAACATGATATTGATTGGAAAATGCCATGGTGATGAGAAGTATTCACAAAAACCCGATAAGAGCACAGTGCCGACCAACGAGGAGCATTGATAAGTGAATGATGGAGTCTGCTTGAAAAATAGCTCCGTCTACGAAACAGATTGTCACAGGACCGGTGCATACATATGTGAAGGAGTGTTCGCTGATAGTCAGGGCGAATAGCGAGATTTAGAAAACAGTATTCACTTAGTAATCAGTAATCGGCAGGATGAGGCAGCTCAGTGACTAGATACAGTGCACCAAAAAAGCAAAATTGTTAAGCAAGACACCAAGACTTTAGTTCAATTCTTCCTTCGATATTCTCTCACAGTCAATGAACTGAACGCCTAGGGAACGCCCTAGCTCCTTACCTCTGGAAATGCAAGAAGAATCGTATCGAACAGCATTCTACGGTATCCATAAAAAAGATGAAATCCTCAAGCAGGACCCGAAGCTTGTGAACGATCCAGGGAGGCGAGGGAAGCATTCGAATACGAGAAAACTTGGGGATCGCTCTGTGAATTGCAACCGCTGAGTCGTGTAGATCAAATATAAATAAATTTATGTATAAATACGTTGCAGAGAAGACAAAATTACCGGACTGCTTGCTCGTTGTGCTAAAATACAAAGAATCAGACACTACTTGATCGATTAACCTTCCACAATAAATCACCCGCTAAACACTTCGATTTTCATTTGCTTTCTTTACAGATTCTGGTGAATGACCTGCTAGGAGATCCATTTCTATCTTTCCTATATGTGACAATAAATGGTTTCAACTCGAGAACTCTCTTAGCCAAAAATAAACTTACGTTTACAAGCACCGTAATTCTGCCGACAAACCATCCATGGGCCTTATTACTCTCGTTTCAGGTAAATTTTATTTTTCGCTAAATCACCGCCGAAATCCGCAAGGATCTTACATTGGATAGTGACTATGAGTAGTGAATCCCTTGATCCCCTCGAGTTTTAACGACACAGTGAAGCCGTTAACAACACCCTCTTCCCGGAACTCTGTAGAATCTCTATCTACAAATTAGACAAGGGTTTGATCTCGTGCAGATTTTCTACCGCCGACAGCATCACTGCGAGGAAAATGGAGATATAAGTGAATATCTTGGCTATCACAATGTACCATTGATTCACACAACTCCAAATCTTAGTTATAAGAAAACAAAGTCATGATATTTTGAGAATTTGAAACTCAAATAAAATAATGGCAACACAATGGAAAGGCTATGTATAGGGAAAGAGTAAAGTCCTCAATCTCTAAAGTCTTAAGGGATTCGGTCAGAGGTAATTTCAGTTTTGTAATTTCGAGTGATGGATTTCAAGAGAGGGAATTCAAAGTAACTTAATGACTAAGATTCTAACGGTAAATTAAGGGTTATATGAGGCTTATTTGGTTAGCTGCAGCTGCCGAACCAGCAACAACCACTATCAGCTAGGCATGTCAGAATTAATTTCAAGTAATAATCAATTAGTTATGACCTCACTTCCGATCCGCTTGATCAAAGAAGATCATTTCTTTCATGGTCTAGTTGACATCACGAGCTAAAATGAAGACTTTACTCGAGATTCTGGGCTTCGATCCGAATAAACGGCTCTCAAGACGACGAAGACATCAAAACCTTAGCCGATCAGATTTATCAACCTCGTCGTCATAGCTGAATCTTAAAAGATACTAAGATGATTGAGTGGCGAGCAAAAACACGGCCTCAGGCGAGAATCGAACCCGCGTTTCATCCCTACCTGGGAAGCGCGCTACTACTACTACACCATCGAGGCACATTTGCACCAGCACTAATTCTTCAACATCTCTGTGTTAGCTATCAGCCACCAACCTTTAACAAGTCTTGTCGGCAATACAATTTCGCTTCATAAGGTTGCTGGCTGATAGCTAACACAGAGATGTTGAAGAATGAGTGGTGGCGCAAATGTCCCTCGGTGGTGTAGTGGTAGTAGCACGCGTCAACGGTATGGATGAAACGCGGGTTCGATTCCTGCCTAAGGTCGTGCTTTTGCTCATCACTCAATCCTTTTAGGTATATACGAAACATCATAACACTGCGAAAAAATGCAGTAAAATATAAGAAAATAATTCATTATTGGTTGGTAAAGCCGAGGTCAAACGAATTTCAGCTTATAGACTATGTTGGACGATGGTTATCAATGAAATGGACGGATTTCAAAAATACCAAATATGCCGTGTATATTCCTCGCAACTATGTATAGATGTATATACATATGTATATATACATATACATATACATATGTATAACACACATATGCATATATATGTGCGCAGTGTACATATACATACATTTGCACACATATGCGCATACATATGCGTATGCGTATGCATATGGACATATGTATGCACGTATACAAGGTACATGAATGTATATACAATCGTATGCGTGTTCATATACACGGACACATGCAGCTTTACATCACATACACGTGCTTATATTAAGCATAAATTTGTATACACGTGCAGATATACACTTCTGTATAACCAGCTGAGAAATAAGTTCCAGTAAGAATTCGAATTATTTCAAAAGGAAAAGAGTTTATTGAAGACAACTCAAAGATACAGAAAAGAAAAGAAGCCGACATTTGCGTCAAACTCAATACAAAAAATTACCCCAAAAGTAATAACGCAACTCGGAGAACGTCCTGATCTACCAAGGTCAAATCGACCAGTATGAATTGACATCAACTCATAGCGGGTCGCCGAAAAACAAGGCGTAAAAATAGGGTACTAGGTGTGTAAGCACGAACACTGTGCTATCGTACGCGATTTGTCATGGTTTAAATTTCTTTGAAATATTTTTTTTTTTTGTCGCAGGGGCTAGTACTTTTACGTGGTTTCCTCTGTCAGAGTGTATATCAGCAGCCTTGGTGGCGTAGTGGTAAGCTCACTCTCCCGGTGGTATGGGTGAGACGCGAGTTCAATTCCGCCCGGGGTCGAGAGTCTTGTGTATTACTCAGTATCCTTGAGATATATCATAGGCCTCCCATGGCAGTTATAAATCTCTTACAGTTCAGACACCAGGAAGAAGGAAAGGCACTGTTGTTGCTTATTTGAAATGATGATTCTTAATCAGTGCTAACTGTTTTAATTAGACAGTTGACGGGACCGTGGCCGAGTGGTTGTGATGCTCGTCGCGGCGCGCATAGAGCCGAGCTCCGCACCCCCCTCCGGCAGTCAGCAAAACGCGCTATGGAACTCCACAGCCAGGCTATCCTCGAGATTGCAAGGAGACATGCTCAATGAACATTCTACGTCATTCAAGAATAAGACGAATAAACAGATCGAATCTAGAAGTACTGGAATCCGCTCAAAAAAAAAATGTGATGCTGGCTCGTGGAAATCATGTCGCTTTATTATCTATTCAAGAATATCGAGTAGTACACAAAAATTCGGCCTCAGACGGGAATTGAACCCGCATTTCACGAATACCGAAAGCGCATGCTACTACTATACTACAGGGACCGTCTCTTTGCGACTACTCTTCGATATAAGCATTGTATCATTTATCTCGGAAAAATGACTCAGATAGACCAAGGAATACTCTATTAGGAGCCTGGCTTTGCAGTGGGATACGGTGCAAGTTGCGCCATAGATTAGTATGGAGTTTTCCTCTATCCTGTCCGGTTGTGACTTCGATATCTCGGTCCCTGACTCACCAGCGCTATGCTGCCCACTTCACCGGGTTATCTCCCCATGGGTCAGCTAACCTTACTCATACACTCTCAACAACTTGCCTTCTCGTCGCACGGTACAAATCATATCTCAGTTCTCATTTGTTTTTCAGCTAAACTTTTTCCTCTTCGTTCTCCCGCTGTCTGTTCTTCCCTTGCGGTCGTGGCGACGATGTCACAGGATGCCTTCTCCTCTCCAAAGGAGGAGTCGTCCGTCAAAGTAGTTGATATGTGGAAGCGTGCCACCCCACCACCTATGGAATTGAAGAGGAGCGACAAGCTACCAATGACGAGGACCACGTGAGTTTTTCATTTTTCTCCTCCTATCCTTCCGATCTGATAGATTGTTCTAAGTTTAAGGGGTCTGGTATGGCACTTGGTGCTAGACGTACATTTCATTGAAAGGTACAGAGGGGCACCTTGGTCGGGTGGTTGAGATGCTCGTCGCAACGCACGTGGAGCCGAGCTCCACCCCCAACTCTTCACGGCGGTCAACAATAACGCTTTATGGACGCCGCAGCTAGGCTGTTCTCGAGATTGCAAAGAGACTCGCTCAGCCAATGTTCTGCGGCGTTCAGAAAGACGAACATACGAACTGAATGCTAGAAGTACTGGAACCCGCACTGTGAAAAAAGTATATTGTGAAGACGGGTCAATAAGGTGTTGCAAGGTATTTCTATATCCCTTTGGAGACGGCTCTATTTTCGGCCGGCGCGCGGCTCGGACGGCTGCGAAAAGAACCGCCAATATGCGCTCGAAGGAAATGTGGTAGTTCTCTAATGATATATATACTTTTTTCGTCAACATGTGGGATTTCTGTGTCAATAAATGGTCAACTATGATAAAAGAGACCTTATTAAAGTTATTTTCAGCAGAAATATCGTGATTGCTTCATTTATAATCTATACTTTCAAAGGGAAAACCAAGTTTATCATGAAAAGGCCATATTTAGAAGCTCTATCGAACATTTTCAATGATAGTTTATTTGTACTAACCTAAAATTCAATCAAATTTATCTTCTATTTCTTCCATCTTTCCGTATACTGTGATTGCATGAAATGCATAGAATTAATTATAGTGGCTGAAAATTGGAAGGCAATGAGTAGTTTGTCGAAAATAGTGCTGCTTGTTGCATGCGATCTCACTTCATCAATAAATCTTTATCTTTTTTTCGATTATTAATGCAGTTCAGATTCCCATTTCTCAGATCAATGCATAATTGCGTTCGAACTCTCTAGTCATAGCTATCGTATGCAAAGAAGAGATGAAGGTAAAGCGGTTTTTCCCCGTTTTCTCCACTCTGTTTGAACCCTTCGGTAGATAAGTATAAAACGCTTTCGTGGTCATTCGATAGCTAAAATTAAGTGAATCTGAACGATGTATTTTATTCCTTGTCAATCTCAACAACCACTCTGTCTCACTTTCACCGATCTGAAGAAAGCCTTTGATTCAGTGGAAGCAGAAGCGGTTATAGAGGCTCTGGATAACCAGGGCGTCCCTACTCGGTACATAATGATTCTTCGTGAGCTTTATAAAGATTTCACGACCAATATATCTCCATTCTACAGCAATATCACCATTGACGTAAGAAGAGGGGTTCGACAAGGCGATACAATTTCGCCAAAATTATTCACTGCCACGTTTCACATTCAAGCAGTTCTCGCTGAATAAAGCTTTTTCCATAAGCATTTTATAATTTCATTAAATAGGGGTAATTTCAGCAATACAACGCTGTACTTGATTTTAATTAAGGACTTCTCAGAGTGTTATAACGTGGTCAAAAAGAGATTAGATTTCGCTAATTTGGATAATTTTCATTGTCCGCAACCTGTTTTGCGCATCTCCTAGAAAAACCCGTTCGGGATTTTAGTCAGAGTTACCAGTAACCATTCGATAGTTTGAATCTGGGAATTTTTGATGGAAACTCCATTCTCCAAATGGCTGTCTTAATGCGCTCTGACAGTAAGAAACAAAATATAGCTTTCACACTCGAGCATTTCCCACTGAGGTTAGCTTTTCCGCTGGACTTTCAATAATTCTTCAATAACTAAAATCTCGACGATTTCATAACTTTGTTTTTGAAAAGAACTCTTTATTGTGCTTTAGCTGCTAAAAGGAGATTAGCAGTTTCGCAGTTAGTTCATGTGTTGAAAAAGGGCGCGGTGACTTGGAGCTAAATCCGCGAAATCGCGAAAAATCCCACCCTTTGGAGTGCGAAACCTAACCTTTTTTTGACAACCACAGCTCACTGAGGATTCCTCTCAAGAAATTAACTATGTCCTTGAGATCACTGAGATTTGCACTATCGAATGGTTATTAGTTGATTATAGAAAAAACTTTATACGGCGAAAAATCCTTAAATGGAAACAGAATTTTATTTCCACTGTTACAACGCAAAAAAATAAACCATTTGAGAAACAGTATGTACCATTGAACTTCACATGATTTCAGTTATCGAAATGAATACTATCACTCTAGTGAAATAGGTTTTTTATAGATAAAACGCGATTCTCACGAGCGCAATCCTTGAAATACGGTTGCATGCGACAGAAGTTATTTCCAAAAGTGGGGATTTTTAAGATAATTGAGCATTACTCTCTTTCAAATGCGTTTTGAAAAAGCTTTTTCAATGATAATTTAAGTTATTTTCAGCATAAGAGTCTGTATGAGTAAAGTCTAACCATATCATGCAAAAAAATCCGTTTCTAATTAGAAAAGTTGGATTGCGATTGCAAAATGTCATCTTATATTTTTCATTAGAACTTACTGTGGGGTTATTTTCAAACAACAAGCTTGCTATTAGAGTCAGAATTTCTCAAGCTATCTATTGGCTACAGGAACATCAAGAAGATGTAAGGGCCCAACAAACACCTGGGAATATAATCTTTTTCGCAAGTATATGGCTTTTTCTTTTGAGAAAGGAATGATTTTGGGCAGCATTAGCGGTAATCGTGCCAAAATCATTCTTACAGGAACTTTATCAGTGATATTACATCCTTTTTGATCACAGTGTTCCTCTGAGAGCTTTATTAGTCCGAGTTTCTTTGGAGCGTGCACCATTCTTCCTATCCCGTCCGAGC